GTAATTGTTAATTTTTCAATAGACTGATGAAGCAGGGTCGGATAGATCCGGCGGGTTACCGATTAAAACTTGATGGGCCGAATGAGTCATGAATTTGCCGACTGAAAATGTGTTTTGAAAAAATGGAGTCTAAGTGTTGTACAGGCCATAAAACATAGTATATAATTGTAAGTATAGTTGATATTAAGTTTGTAAGTGGACCGATCAAGCACAAAAAACTTGGTGGCCCACGAGGAATGATACTAGTAAGCGCTMTTCGATGATCTCAATGCAAAGGGACAATATAGATGTAAATATGTTGTTGTTTTTGACAATGACAATTTRGTACGTACTTTTCGACGAGGATAAGTCTTCAGATACTGGCGACAAGCACGAAATCGGCGAAGGCGGCGTGGCCGGTCTTTCGGACTTTTGAGGAGCCGCGGGTTGTTGAATGCCTAATGCACAGTCCGCAGCAGCGTCCGCAGCCATCCACTGGCCTAGGGGTACGTAGAATTTGTCTGCGTCCGTTTCGTCTTCTTTTCTCTTGRTGCACTTCAMGTACTTGTCCATTATGGGAGTTCAAGGTCCAGATGAATCACAGACAACAGCCACACATCATTGGCGACGGATCACGGTTCCTTTTCCTTACTAAATAATTTAAATCGTTTAGGCGAACACTGTACGACCGTTATTACTTATTATTTATTTTACTGTTTAAAGTCGGTGTTTATACTGTTATTTTGTGTGGTGTTATTGACGACTTATCAGGCACATGTACGTGAGACGATGATAAAATTTTTCAGCTTAAATAAATATTAATAAAGACGACAATTGTAGACACTATGATTAGTAAAACGAGTTTTTATAAAAATGCATTATTTTATCATTAGTTTTTTTATCTTAAATTCAGATATTTTAATATTTTATCCTACAATATTACAATATATCTCTTTTTAGGTTATAAACCACGACCCGACGACCACCGTTGCCCGTTGCCGCGAGTTTAATAGTTGGAAGTTTGGAACGTCATGGCGCAACATTACATCTCAGAGATGCGTTATCCCTACAGTTGTCGTGCGCGACATTTTGACAAACGTCTGTTAGTCTCTCACCAGCTAGTCACCAGCCTGCTCCATTCGCATTTTGTTCGTAGATACTAGATAGTAGATACTAGATACCATGACGAAATAACATTATTTCGTCATGCTAGATACCACAAATAATAATGACAATAATCTCATCAATAATTAATAATTTTAATAATTTTATATGAAAGTATTTAGTTGGTATAATATATGGTACGCATTACGCATTGTAGTGGTATGTTCGACTTTTTTTTTTAAATATTTCATGAATTTATAGGGTCTCTATAAGTCTGGAGGTTACCCACATCAGTACATCACTATTGTTTTTTAGTTAGCTACCTATTGAATAATTTTTATTTATTAAATAACGTAACTAGTGAGTAGTTTCTTAGGTTTTCAATATATATTAAATATTTATTCACTATTGACTTAATACATTTAAACGGGTGTAAAAAATGTGGACAATACTCATTACAGAATTCTTAGAAAAAAATTATTTTACATTGGCTCCTATTAAACCAAATTTTGGAGATACGAGAATATTCATCCTGTATTTTGAAAATGAAAAATTATGAAAACCGTTTTTAAATTAAGTAAATTAATAGRAATAGGAAATCGTTTGATTGTTTCAAATAATTATAATATGGGCAATAGTGGGGAGTAGGATCTTCATCCAGTTCAATCGTTTTTTTCTATGACCCAACCAGTGGCGGTTATACAGTGGCCTAACCCTTGGTCCGTGTTTTTTTATAATAAATTATTGAAAGAAGTATTAATCATGGTACTATTTTTTTGTGTTTCTAATTTATAGAAATAGTATCGGTTTAATATGTAAAGTTGTCTTGCGCAAAATAATACCGTATATTTTTAAATAATTGTAGTTCATTTTATTAATTTTTGTTATTATAGTATATTAGTATAATATGTACGTTCTACGTATTATGTTATTCGGAACGTCGCGTGTCATTGTTTATATATTATATATATATGGCTGCTAGGAATAATCGCAATAATGTAATGCATTTCCCATTCTGATATTACGATAATTTTAAGAGGACGCTACACCCGTATGTGTTGTCTCCGTCTTACAAGTGCGTAACATTGCAAACACTGTTTCGCGCGGTAAAGAACCGAGAAAGATACGGTTATAACTAAGAAACGAAATGTTCACCACATAAAAAGGAGAATTTTGTCTGTGCAATATCGTTTTTATTTTTTCGATATCACTTAAACAAAAAAAATTCTTATTGTTTTATAATACATTAATTTTGTGTTTTTTAAGCATTATTTTGTAGTTCGAAAAAATAAAAACAATATTGCACAGACAAAATTCTCCTTTTTATGTGGTGAAAATTTTGTTTCTTAGTTATAACTGTAGTAGCTTTCTCGGTTCTTTCCCGCGCGAAACAGTTTTTGCAATGTTACGCACTTGTAAGACGGAGACAACACATGTGGATGTAGCACCCTCTTAATATAAATCTAAAAATATAATAAACGCTGTATACTCATAAACTCACAAATATTATTATACGTTTTGCTAAACAAAAAAAAAGACATAATATGCTTTTATTGTAGATTTTTATTATTAAAATGGTTGATTAACTGTGCATCTGTGACTATACTTTTTTTWATTTAATTGTAAGTATAAGGTGAACCTATTTTGGATTATTTCAAAATATTGGGGAAAAGTTCCAACGACTCATTATTGTCCTATGATTTTTATAATTTCCGCCCCCCCCCCTTAAAAGTCAGTTATAAACCATCATTGGACCCAACCCACCTGGGTACGCCATTGCAACTTTTATTTAATAATTATTATTTAATTAGACATTTAGACAAATGTTTGGTCAAAAGCAGTTAAAAAAATTAATACAAGGTTTCTCATGAATTGTTCTTATTCAATTATTCTCAAGTTGTCTTATGGCATATTATGTACCTAGTAACAATATAATTTAAAATAACATGAAGAGCAGGAAAAGAAATACTTATTATTTTATAAAAAATGTTAAGACATRAGCCACAGTTTAGCCAGCCCTAATACTACTAAATGAATTATTGTGGTTCAAGGAGGTAAATGATGCAAAAGCCAAAGAACAATGCTCTAATATGTATATCCAAATAATATTTTCCTATAATTATTATAATACAGACAATAATACAGTACTTTCCAATCATTAGATTCACTTAAGTACCAAAGTATATGAGTCTATACAACAAAACACAAAAATAAACATACCTATGCATTTTAATTAAAACTTAAATTTGGCCATATACTGATAAATATTCATCAGTAAGAATTTATTTATGTAGGTATTTCTAATATATGGARTCATTCATAAAGAAAAAACATAAAAATTATTAAAATAAAAATATAAAATGTTTCATCCAATTAGTATTGTTGTATTGTTTATTATACATTAACTAACTAATAATTATACTTCTTAAGATGGTTAAATACATGTGSTTTWTTCAATTATTACATAAAGAACCATGTCTTATGACTAGGGCTAGGATTTATATGCATTTGCATGTTTTTTTCCTTTAGTCCAAATTGATTGGTTGTCAGATTTGTCCACGATTTGGTTTATTCTCGTTTAAATAGGACCAATTTTTTTTGCATATTTTGGACATAATGCATATAATTGCATATTCATAGATTTTTTTAGAAATCGATATTTTTTAACTAACGTTTTTAATTTTTATAAGTTATTGTTAATTTTAAATGGTACTTCACAAAACCGACAGTTTTTGGTTTATMCGTTAAATTTTCGTAAATATATAGCATAAATACTACCTATTTTATCTTAGGTCAGATAATATCCGTTYGTTACCTTATYGTTRGTCRGACKACTBGTAGAATTACTTACACATTGTTATACAGTGAGATAGCACAGAAAAATTGTATTGGTACGTGGTGTGTTGCGTAAATGTGCAGACGTTTATACTTAATAATTTGAATGGTTTTAAGAATTTTCTAAACTCACTAAATCCAAATGGTACATTATCAGATAGTAACACCCTGGGGCATCCATGAACACTTATTATATTCATAAACTGATTAATCATTTCACTTGCAGTTTTTCTTTGGACTTTACATATTTCCAACCACTTTGAGTAGTGATTTATAACAATTAAATAGTAATTTCCTCCAAATGTAAAAATATCACAACTTACCATTTCAAATGGCAACATAGGTGCTACATGCGAGATTAATGATTCCTTTACATTAGCATTTCTGTATTTAGCACATGTTTAACACTTATCAACAAAGTGTTTTATCTCATTATCCATTGCTTTCCAATATACTAATTGTTTCACTCTTAAAATTGTTTTAGTCACCATTATGGCCTTCATGAACGAGCCTTAGTACTTTAGATCTTAATTCTTTTGGGACTACTATTMTGCTTTCATAWAACACTACTCAATTCTCAACACTAATACTATCTCTTAAATTCCAGTACTGTCTCATATTTTCAGGCACTTGTTTTTTACTTTTAGGCCAACCTCTTTCATACAATTTAATGACTACTTTCAGCTCTTCATTACTTTCAGTAACTTTTGCTATTTCTTGAAAATTTATATTTCTATACTCAACTGCATGTATTACCCCCTCCAACTCCTGGTCACTTTCTTCTTTAATGTCTATAAAGTTTCTTGACAGTAGATCCGCTATAAACATTAATTTTCCTGGCAAATACTCTACACATAAGTCATATATTATTAGCTTCATTTTCATTTTTTGAAGTCTTACTGATATTACTTTATTAAAGTTCTTTTGAAATATTTGTACTAAAGGCGAATGATCTGTCATCACTTATGTTGTATTTCCATAAATGTAATTATGAAATTTTTTACATGCATAAAGTATACTCAACTTTTCTTTTTCTATTTGAGGGTATCTTTATCTTTCTTCTGCCTCATTCAGATTTCTTGATGAAAAAGCAATTGGTCTATTGCCTTGCAATAAACAGCACCCCAATCCTGTTTGTGAACCAACATACATTATTTTTTAACAACTCCCTTAACGGTGTTATTAATGTGGACATGTCTGGTATAAACTGTCTTAAATAATTAAATGCTCCCAACAATCTCTGTAACTCTACTTTATTTTTGGGTGGCTTTAAAGTCATTAATGCTTTAACTCTTTCTTCGTCTGGTTTCATACCTTCATCATTAAACTTCATACTTATGGACTTTATTTCATGTTGTTTATATTTAATTTTTTCACTATTAAATTTGACATTCAGCTCTTTTGCTCTTTCTAATACTGCCCTTAGGGTTTCATCATGTGTTTCTTCATCCTYTGTTGCTATTAAAAGGTCGTCAAAGTATACAAATACATTTTTTATTCCAACAAAGCACTCTAACGTTTTCTTTTGAAATACCTCCAGAGCACAAGACAAACCAAACGGTAACCTAGTACACCTGTAGTATCCGAATGGAGTGCTAAATGTACATAGATAACTTGATTCTTCATCTAATTTAATTTGCCAAAATCCTGCTTTAAGGTCAAATGAACTAAACCATTTTTTTTTATTTAAGCTAAATCTTAACTCCTCTAGTGTTAGTATTAAAAAAGCATCTCTTATAATTACTTTGTTTAATTCTATGGGATCTAAACAAATCCTTAATGTCTTATTATGTTTTTTAACAATTACCACATTACTTGACCATCCCTTAGGTCATTCAACTTCTACAATTACACCTTCTTTACACATTTYCTCTAAAGTTTTACTTAACTCTTTTTTAATAGACTCAGCTACTCTCCTTGGAGGATTTAGTTTAGCTTCACTATTATCTTTAATTTTTATCTTACATTCACCTGGAAAACAACCCAATCCCTTGAACACTACATTATATCTCTCTAACACTTCATCTATTTCACTATTACAATTAATAGATTCAATTCTTTTAATCAAATTATTTTGTTTGCAAAAACTTAAACTTAAAATAGGTACACATTCTTTATTTTTATTATCTACTACAACAAACTGATGATTAACACTTATTTGATTAACTACACAATTAAGTTCTACTAAACCCAAATATTTTATCTCAAATCCCCCATACGCTTGTATTTTAGCATTTAAATTTTGTATTTTTTCATTAATTTTTACTTTTTTAAAAATTTTTTCTGGTATGATACTTATATCAGAACGTGTATCTATTTTAAATTTTATATCCATACCATTAATTTTAATATTTTCAAACCGCTCTTTTTCATTCTTTATTCCACTTAGTTTGTTAACATTAATAACATAAGTGTCAAATAAGTGTTCTCCACCATTATTATTAATATTATAATTACCCGTTACATTATTTCCGATTGCCATTACATTTTRTTTTTCTCTGCATCCCACTTTGAAATGATTTAATTTGCCACAATCATAACATTTCTTCCCTTACGCTGGACAATTTCTTGGTCCATGATGAYGGCCACACTTCTTGCAATCATATTCTTTTTTTGATGACGGCTTGACCCTTGATCCATTAGCCTTTTCTTTTTCCTTCCAGCCTTGATGTTGATAAGTAGTTTCATTTTTCACAACAGTATAATTGACTTCTGCAACTTGATTGTGAAGTAACATTTGTTGGGACTTAGCTGTTTCAGCCGATTTACAGTGTTCAATTGTTTTATCAAGCGATAGGTCTGGCACTCTCAGTAGTCTTTCTTGTAATGCCAAATTCCTTACGCCCAACACAATGCGAACCTTGACCATGTTATCTTCTAATGCTCCAAATTCACATCGCTTTGCAATCATTTTAATTTCTCTAAGAAACTTATCAAACGATTCAGCCTCTTCTTGATCTCTTCTAAAGAACTTAAATTGCTCTACTATAACATTGTACCTTGGTTCATAATATTCCCTTAGTTTTTTAAAAATTATTTCTGTCGACGAACATTCTTCAGTAATATTTAATGTCTCCAGTAACTCATAGACATCATATCCAATGACACTGAGTAGAATTGCAACCTTAAGCTTTTCTGGCTTTGCATCTAAATCATTAGCTCTCAGATACAAATTAAATTTATTCTTAAACAATTTTTTACTTATGAAAGAGTTTATATATAAATCATATTTAGCCTATTTGAGACCAGTAGAGGAACAAGTCTATTAACAGTAAATCAAATAATCAGTGAATTCTGTACAACAAAAATAATTTAAAAAAATATTTAAAATATTTTTCTATATTCTATTTGTTATTTAAAAATGGTACCAATAAAAGTAAAAAATAGTTATTATTGAATAATAAAATAGTATTATTATTAGTTAATTATATTTATAATACATTTAAAATTGGTATGAATAAATGTATTCAATGCTCAAAAAAGTTTTGAATAACTGTACCCAAATATTTCAAATTACCTGCGAACATTCTATTAAAAAAATTACACTGAAGTAAGCAGTGGTATGGTTATTTAAAAGTAACTTAATTAATTATTTTTTTATTTATTGTTCAAAAATACTTTATACATTAAAGGCACATAAAAAAAAAAAWTTAACTAATAATTTTAATTAATTAAATAATATTTCAAATTAACTAAATTTACATTAAAATTATAATCACTTACACAACTATTTTATGTTTACAGCATTTAATTTATAATTATCAGTAATAAGTATAATATTTGATTAATCATAAAATAACATTAATAATGATAATAAGAAATTTGTACATTATTAATCTTTTATATTATTTCAATTAAACTACTAATATCTATTATATAATTAAGTAATTAAGATTAATGAAAAAATACTTAATTTATCAAAATTGTTCCCAACCCAATAATTATTACCAACTTTATTGGTAGAAAACAATAAATGAATGAGTTTATAATTCACAAAACCATAATTTAAGATCTCAAATCTTGAAGTTATTAATTATAATTATGTATATACACACAATTTAAAAGGTAAAATCAATTAATATTAGATACCTGGAGGGCCCCCAATATTATTACTGTTACTGCCAGCAGATACAGTGGAAACACCATCACAGCCTAATAATGATGTAATATTTGGGGAATTTGATTGCTGTTGAGAGTTAGTTAAGCAAGAAGATGCAGATGACACAATGGAAGAAGCATTGTTTAATTGTTGCTGCTGTTGTTGCATTGATAAACTCGATCCTCCAAGTAAGCTTTGCTGTTGCTGTTGAGAATTTGGTCCCCCTAATGAAGTGACAGATGACAACATATTCAGAGGTGGTGGAGGCGGTGGTGCTACAACACTGCTAGTACCATAACAATTGCTACGTAATGCTCTATACTTATTAAGTTCATTAGGGAATGTTTGTCCCAAGTCTGCGAGTACATTGGCTTTGAATTTTTTCAAAGCATCTATCTTTCCTTTGACTTGTTCATTTTTATGTAAGGCTTTTTCTATACAGTCCTTAGTATAGAGCTGAGGGTTACGTCCTCTATCAATGTACCTAAAATACAAAAAGAAATAAAAGCAATAAATATAAAAATTACTTATATTTAATTCTCATAAATAATACTCAAATTATATGCAGTAAAAAAAAAAATTAAAAGATTAAGTAATTGTTTTAACAAAAATAATTGAAATAATTACTGTTAAGAGGGGGTCATACCAGCATGTGTTGTCTCCGTTTTACAAGTGCGTGACGTAACAAATTTATACTCAAAAGATCATGTGTTGGATGTAGGATATCTACGATAGTAAATTATAAATGTTCATAACACACTTACAACTGAACTATCGTAAAAACCCAACATATGAACACAAACAATATTCTCGACTTTAAATTTTATTAAAGGCCAATTCACTTAAATTTTTAGACGAACGAAGCTAAAAGTGATCTGTTAAGCGTAAATTTACTATGTTTCGTACTAGTAGGTAAGATGGAGACAACACATGTGAATCCCCTCTTAAGGGGATTCGATACTCTGATTTTTTGTCTTTGTCTAACACATGTGCATCATAGAATTTTAGTCATGTTCTTTGCCAAATGTACCGATGGATATAGTGAAAAGTCAAAAATTCATAAAACAGACTTTAATTTGTTGTCATCTACTTAAAATCAATATCACCACATTTTTAATTTTTTTGTTTTAACTTCTCCAAAAATTTAAAAACAAATTTTTAAATATTACACTTTAGAGAATTTAAGAGGCAATATCAAAATGAGAAAAAGTCAATTTAGTTATTACGACTAATTCAAATCTGTTAAAATAGAATTCTTATAGCTTAGATCAATTGGTACGTTTGGCAAGAACAGGTCTAAAATCCTATGTCACCCATGCATTAAACAAATACAGACAACAACCGTATCAAAATCCCCTAATCATAATGGTTCTTTAATAAAATAAAAGTACTCATGATAGTTGTTGCATCGGGTGGAATAATGGAAAAGTACCGATTACACTTAACCTATTGCTTTTTTTATTAAATAAAACTATTTATTAGTCCTACTCATGAAATCATGAGATTATATTACATGCAAAAGTATTATAATTATACTTACTCAAATACTTCCAAAGGTACATGAATATCTTGCACGTTGGATTTCAGTTTATTAATTTCCTGTAAACCAGTGACGGCATTTTGACTGTATAAAAAAATAAAAATTATAAAAATAAATTTCGAAAAAATTATAATAATCAATATCGAAAAATTTCAAATACATTTTCTGATTTAATACAGTCTGTCCTTGGGGTTGGAAATCGGCAACTATTATTCGTATTTGCCGTACATTTTCAACAAACATTTCCAACTGGGTTTCTAAATCTTCCAACGGCGACGATGAACTCGACGAAGCCATTATCGCGATATCTGGTTACAACGAGACGATGATTGATTATTTACGTATGACCTAAATCACAGTAGTAAATAATATAAATTAAAATACTTACAAATGTTTTAATGATGAGTATTTAACACAGCCACCGACTCGACCGACCTACTACACCAGTACAATAGTACACTACTACACTACGACAAATTGCTAAGACAAGTCTTGATCTCGGTTGTTATCAATAATTGATATCAACATTGAAACTAGTGAGATATTCACTTCCATGATCGTAGCATTAATTTTATTTTTACGTCCCCGCCAAACATTTTGAACCTAGAGTGTTGTATAGTTATGCCACAGATAATCTGTGGTTATACGACGAATTATAAATATTATGGCCCATACTCCATAGCCCATAGGCCATAGCGCCCATAGCTAATAATAATAACAAAGCTATAGGTATTAACCAGTTAAAATTAAAATTAAGTTAAAACGTTAAACAAAATTAAATAAATCGATACTTTTTATAAACTTGTTACATTTTTATCGTAATTAACGTATTAACCTCAAGTTAATTTTATACAGGTTTATTAAAATTAAGTAAATTTTTCTATTGAATACTAACCATTTATTTATAATTTGTTACTTTATAAGAAGTGTCTTATAATTCAGAGAAATATCCAAGAACAAGAAAACTAAACAATAAACATTGGAAAATGTGTATAATTATTTTGTAATTAATGAGTTAATCTATAATTTATTTTGATATTTAGATAGCATTATAATATATTATGTATAATATATACTATATAGTCATAAAGGTAGGGTAATATACACAACTACACGAGTTATATGATACTGTAAGTATACCTATTCKAGTAATGGGTATTAGAGTGCCTATTATGATTAATAAATATTGAATTTACTAATTATATAGTTATATAATTATAATATTCTCAAGTACGATTATTAACTAACTACCCATTTTTAAAATATCAAATTTTTTACAATCCACTAATTCATAATCACCCTACACTCTACAGTGACATTATATAAAGAACTCATAACTTMTAATTTTACTGTTAGTAGTAATTATAATTATAGAAATAATTATTTTTATTTAAATACAGATAAAATTGTTTCAATTAAAAAAATAGTTAAACGTCYTGATGGAACCATTGTTGTAGAAGTAAATAAATTTAATAATATATACAATATATTTGAAAACCCCATTCCATCCTAAATGGTTGGTTCCTATTTTATTGATTTAAAAAATAAAACTGAGTCTTTTCATATAGAGTTGCAAACATTAAAATATAATAGTATTTTTTTACATATTGCCGAATTCAAAGCAGTGTTTATGTTATTGCAACAAATGGTTAACAGTACAAGTTTTATTTTACTATTTATTGTGAAGTTTTTTAATTCATAAAAAATATTATTATATGTATTGTGACTTATTTTGATTGTAATAATTATATATATTAATTTAAGACAAATTATTTTAAAACTATTTTTAACAGTGCCTTTTTTATTTTATTGCAACACTACAGTTATCACTATATTCTACAGTGTAGTTTTTTAGTTGTTATTTTGTAACATATTATATATCACATAATATATGAATATTGGTATATGAATATATTATGTATTTAATAAACATTAGGTATAATAAAAATCTATAACATAAAATAATATTTATTGTACACTTATTATTTTTATAAGTAATTTGCACAAATAAATATTTATTTTGTATGAATTTGTTTATAAATATGTATTTTTTTTTATACATCTAATTAAAAAAACTTCCCAAAGGTAATTCAAAAAATGTAAATGTTATTATAGTAATTATAAATTAACAAGGGTTAGGATTAATATTTGTATTGTATAAATAAACTATCAAAGTCCGGCACTTACTTATTAAATACCATGTAATATGTTATATACATTGATCACGCACCCAAATCTGATTATTTAGACTTGGCTTTTAATAGTATATTATTGTGTCGCAAGGACTGGAAGCAAGCTWTTTCAGTCGAAGGTGTCATGTGCGGCACGAGCAGCAGGCAAGGGCAGCAGGTATTCTACCTAAAACCCCGGGGAATAAAAGTCCGATTTATTTATTATACATATGCCGTACAAGAAAACATAAATGTTATTAAAAATAATAGCAATAATCAATTATTACATTTGAATTCAATATGAAAAATCTATATCCTTAACCTATCACCTTGGCCGTGTCCTAATATTATGTCCCGCTTGAGTTAAAAACTCTTCAACRYTTAGCTCAGAGTTATGAATTCGCTTGCATTATGTTTCAAGCCTGATGTTTTTTTGATTTTTTCATGGTTTGTCCTGCACTGCTTAATGCTATTTTTCAGAAATGCTTGYTTGTTTAAAAAATTCCATTCCTTCGTGCACCCGTTCAAGGGGTAGGAATGCCAAACTATCAATCATCGAACAAAAATGACTAAATCTGTCATCATTCTTATAAATGTTTTGTAAACCTAAATCCCGGATTTTGCGAAATGTACTCTGGCATAGATGATAAAAGCCCGCTCTAATTTACGTTTACGATACAAAACATCGACTGAGCATTTGGTAAAATAACCAGGGTAAGTGAAGATAATTATAACATATAGGTAATAAAGATTAGATTCCTATAATGGATGATACTGAAAGATAATAGTAGGTATTAGGTGATCCAACGTCCCAACTTAATAAAGTCGCCAACAAACGATAAAACAGACTTTTATTACATCAGACTTTTTTTCGCGGGTCTTTTTTTACAGGGCTATTGTTCGTAGTTTCACCAGTGATCACGATCCACGTCAAAGGATATGCAGGGATCTATGCAACAACCAGACTACAATACGAAAACAATTTCATGGAAGAAATGTTATTTCATTTTGGTATAACAAGTAACAACCATAGGTTATAAACAGGTTAATAAACTYTTCGGTAACCTTCAACCCACAATAACTGTGGCACAATGTAGAGAAGACTTTTTTCTCTACATCGTGGTTCAACTAAACTACCAAAGGTAAAAGGTATATACAATAAAATATATAAACTAATAAATCATCCTCCATCCCATCAACTAAATACTAAAAAAAATCGAGAAGCAACTACTTCTCAAAGACCGTGTACGTTTTGCCAGTGTAGAATTAACTGCAATAGTACCATATACAAATAGGAAAGGAAATTGGAATCGGTTACACAGTTGTCTGACCTCATTATATTTGACATATTTATAGAAGATTCATCGTTGAATGATAAAATGTTATGCACAAATTTGGGGAATATTTTACTGAGTATTAAAATATATTGCATATATTACACAAGTGTGTAATTTTCGGATTATTAGTAACTAAATTATGTACCCATAACTTCATACAACTGGAAGTGTAAGAAACGGTTATAGACTAATTATATGTACGCCATGCAACTGCAGTATTACAAAATATTTTTTTTGACGATTATCGTGGAATAATATAATCGAGACGTCTTGAGTAGAATATTGCTATTCATATTGATTATAATTTATAAGCTTAAATTATAGCTTAATCAATATAACACATTGGAAAATCAGGTCATTTCAGCGCATCTCAACTTATGACAGTGGCGGCTCTTTTAGCATTTTAAATCTGAGTAACGCGCTATTAATCAGGTAAACACATAAATAATTATAAATAATAAAAATGTAATACAATATATATCTTATACAATATGTCCCTAAACTAGGTAGCCTATTAAAGTTTAACTGACAGGGATATTTACAATATTAATGTCAACAACCTTTTTTTTAATAATACAATATAGAAAACAATGTAGCTTACACAGAAAAATAATAATAGTAAAATGAATTTAGTTTATACAGTTTAATATACTATATACAGTTCCATATTTTTTGACAGCATCTTATGAATTAGTGCCTAAATGGGTTAAAAAGATATTTTGTTTCATAACTAATTATAATATTGATTTATAAGTGGGTACCTAGTTTTTCTTGTAGATTTTAACAATTATTATTCAAACATTGAATCAAAAATAAAATAATAATATATTTCTAAACTATCTGTAACTTCGTGCTTCCAAAACTATTGTTTGACATATTGTATAATATTATTCATTTAAGAATATTTCTAGAAATGAAAATTATACTAAATTTTTATCAACATTTTTCACAGGTTAGACAATGTATCAATACTTAATTTTGAGTACATAATATAATGCTGAAGTTTTTTTATTGTAGGAGTATTGCTGTCAAAGTTTTCTGGTTAAATAAACTTTTTTTGTAACAACTAACAATACTAATAAGAAATTAATAAGAAATTTCATTTTATTAATAAGAAAAATTCTTATGAATAATTAATTAAAGCGAACATTACATGGTTGTTACATCAACATTATACAATTATTGCATACATACTCTTTAGAATACTGTCTTATATTTAACTTGTAATTATTAAATATAAGCTACTATTAATTGTAAAAAAACATACTTTCCTATAAAAACATATTTAAAAAAATATAAATATATATATTAAATTGAACTAAAAAATATTTTAAAAATTGCACTAAAAATACAAAAACAATTTTATGCACTTAAAAATAATGAAAAATTTAAAAGTGTGTGGTTACACTCTTACACTTGACATATACTCCCAGTCACTATCTTATAAACAGGTTTGAACAAAGAAGTGTATGTCGTATGTGAGACTTAGCTCGGCTTTAAATGTTTTTTATGATGCACCACACACTTTTAAATTTTTCATTATTTTTAAGTACATAAAATTATTTTTGATTTTTAGAGCAATTTTTAAAATACTTTTTAGTTCAATTTAATATATATAATATATTAATATATTTTTTTAAATGTTTTTATAGGATAGTGTTTTAAAAAAAATTATTTTTTACTTTTTTATTTTCTACTTTTTAGTTGAAAATAAATTTTTTTATTAAAAATTTAAAAAATATTTATTAAACAAATTTTTATGTATATTCATATTTTTGGTAGCTTGTTATAAGTATCTATATCACGAACCTCTTGATTTGTTTTAAGATGATTTTGAGAATGCCAAAGTACAAAGTACTTGAGAGCGTCGACAATTGATGTAAAACTCTTCATATGCTTACTGTTTTGTAAAAATCGGTTACCTATGTGGTGACATTGTGTTAACCAATGTTTATGAGTCATTCATAAAATTT